CGATGGGCCTCTGGAGAAAAATCTGGGCTGGACCCTGGAAAGACAAACTGCAGCCTGCAGCAATTACAGTTTTTCTAGATGTTTGAGATCGAACCGATGCTTTCCCCACTGGGACCCATACAGCATTTGGGCAGTTCAGCCCGGGATACCCGAGGCTGCTGGGATTTATCCGGATTTCCGAGAGCTCCGGGGAGGCTTCCTTCACGCAACACCTTCCTTATAGCGCCGAGAATTATTCAACTGCAAAAGCAGCAGGATTGGGAGCCAGTCCCCCAGATACTTACAGTTGTGGGGCTGTTGTCGTAGCGTGAGCTGCGCCAGTTTAAAGGGAGTGGAGGGGCTCAGAGTCAGCGGAACGATGCTGTGCCCGGAGAGGAGGGTTCGCGTTGTCGTAACTCTTTTTTTTTTTCCTGAAGTGCCAAGTGGAAAAGCTTTAAATTTCTGTGCTTTTGGCGCCGTCTCCTTGGAACGAGCGCGTCTCCGTAGTGAAGCTTTGGAAAGGAAACGGTGCTCGAAGGGGCAGTCCCAGACTAGTTTCTTCTGATTTCCCTCGCGATCAAGGGATGGGGAGGGAGAGACAGATGCTGCAGCTGCGTGATTACAGCGAGTGCAGCTGTTAGCACACTTGCTTCTCTTCCTGCTAATGAGGCATCAACTCTCTCCTGATTTTTTTGTTTGGGTAGTGGTTTTATTCTAGCAGAAAATTGGACCAGTGTTGGGTTTTTAAACATTTTTCTTTATTCTGCTCTGGTTCAAGTTCAGCGGCTCTCAGGACAGTTTTTCAGAGCTGGTCCAGCTGAGGAAGGAGCCAGCGATTCCAACGAGCTTTGAAGCGCTTGGCGGGCCCTGGATGCAGCTGGGGAGACCAAGCTGCTTCGGTGACACTTTGGTTTCCGATGGAGTTAGACCTGAACATCTTCTCCCTGTTAATCCAGTCCCTCAGCTGCAAGCGCTCAATGGGTGGTTCCGGCTTAAGGATCTTTGCTTTCGGTTCTTGGGATTATCTCGCGATTTCTTGGAGACCTCTGGGCACAGCTGGTTTTTCTGCTTCGCTTTGTGAAGCAGCGCGGCGGTGGAAGGAGGATGAAGATCCCTGCCGCTCTGCCGTCCCCGCTGAAGCGAGTTCAGCGCTGGCTGGGAGCAGACCCGGTGTGGTACGCGTGGCTGGCGGGGGGTTGGCTTTGAGCAGCGTTCAAAGCTCGGCTGCTGCGCTGGGGAGGCGGAGGGGCTGCTGGGGACGCCGGTACTCTGGCTGCTCTCTGCTTTTAAAAGCCAAGAAGGGAACGAGCAGGAGATACCCCTTAGCACAAGGCTCGGGGTGGCTCAAAACCGGTTGGTTTCCACCCATAACGTACTGATAATACGGAGCCAGCACAGCGCGGACGGGGCTTGGCCGTGCGTCTGAAGGCAGAAGGAATTCACCTGGCTTTGGACCGGGGGCGTTAGCGAGGTGTGGGTGGAAGGACAGCCTTCGCGGGGTCTGCAGGCTGCGTGGGTCAGGGAGGAACCCCGGTGGCTGGTTTGTTCGTGGGGTGGTTTGGTTTGGTGTTTTAGCTGATAAATCCCTCGTGGAAGTTTTTGAGAAGTAATGCCAACTTCTGCATTTGCTCCAAGTCCCTTTGGTTGTGTTCCTGCACGTGTCCTGGAAAGCTGGATTTCGGAGGGGTTGCCCTCACGGGGAGGTGTTGCTGGGTGGCACTGGTGTTCTCCTTGCTGGCGCTTAAAGGACTTGCTTGGTCGTGATGCCAGAACATGTGGGGTTGGCTTATTTGTCTTTCTGCAAGTTTCCAGCCATTTAGCTCTCCATCTGTAGGTAAGTGCTTCGCAGCGTTAGAGCAGCTGACCTGCAAGTGTGGGAGAGAGAACTTAGAGACCAGGTGCCACGAGGGAGATCTATGCAGACATAACCTCCTTCTGTTAAAAAATAATAAATAAATAACCAGGTGCACGTGATTGCTTGATTACTATTGTGCTTAAGAACTTGTGTCAAAGGACTCGAGCCCCTGAGCCTCCCGAAGCTGGGTTGCATTGAGTCTTGGTGCTCTTCCCGCTTTCGTGCGGTTTTGACTCGGTATCTCTGTTGTCATCTCTGCGTGTTCAGCTCGAGTGTTTCTCTTGACGCTCCCGGTTGCAGGCTGTCAGCGCCGAGAGCTGGAGCTGGGGATGAGCTGCGAACAGCGAGGCGTCGCGCCCTGATCCGCACGGGAAGACAGGTCTCGCGTCCGGGCTTTGGGGAGGGAGGCAGATTCTCAGTTCTTGGAAATGAATGTAGAAAAAGAAAAAAAAAATTAGTTTTCATTTCAGGTATTGTAACTTAAAGCATTCTTCTGCTTAGGTTCCAGAGAAGACATTTTATTGGAGCTGTTGTTTGTCTTGGCATTGGCTACGGGGTCGAACAGGGAAGGCAGTCGCTGTGCTGTTAATGACGCTTCGGTTGGAAAAATCCCCTTCCTTCCATCTCTGCCAGAGTTTTCAACTTTACAGCAGGTGTGGTGTGAGTGAAGGCTAAAGTACTTGGTTTGTTAGCTGCCCCAGCTCGTTCCAATCCTGGCGGGCTGTGAATCCCAGCAAGGGAAGGATGTGTGGCCAGGAGGCCAGGCTGCTGCTGGAGAGAGCCTGGGGAGGAAGAGGTGGCGGATGCTGGTTTGTAGGGCGAGCCACGGTTGGTTAGTTTGGGTTTTTCACCTCCCTGAGCGCTTGTGCCAGAGGCTCGGTCTTTCAATGAGGACAGCCTGATTTTTTCTTATTGGAAAAACATGGATATCCACCGATGTTTGCTCCTCGCAGAGCACCCCTGGCTGGGCACAAGCCAGGGGAGGTATCGGGGTGGAAGGGGTCAGTTACCCCAAAGCACATCGGGAAGAGCCTGACCCCGAGAACATCGCTGTGCAAACCCAGCGGTTTCCCATTCCCAAGTTGCTTTTAGTGAACGCATATCTAAGCAAGTCAATTAGAACACACTGGGCTTGTTTCAAATAGATAATCTAATTATCAGCTTGATTAAACCATATCAAATGAACAGTTCTTGTAATTCGGTGGCTTTGTTCTAATCAGTGCGAAAGCAGTAGTGGCTTTAATTAAGAGCCTGGAAGGTGGCGGAGCGGTGTCGATTGTGTCAATAGAGGTGTTCCAGCAAATACCCTCTGCAGGGAGGATCGAACCGCTCCCGGGCTCGTGCTAATGCGAAGACCAACTCTTTGGTGCCAATAAAGGGGATCTGCCTAGTTAATAAATGCCATTAAGTGCAAGCAATTGTCCTTTTCTGCTGTTTCAATGCTCAGATACAGCCTTAGTTAGATCTGTCCCAATAGCACTCAGTCAGGCTGACTTTTGAAATGTTTGTAGGCTGGTGTCGCCTACCTGTATCCTTTCAGCTTCAGGCTGCAGAAGGGCTTAATTCCTCTCGTACCTGCACCAGGGTGCTGCGGGGCGCTTGCTGGATTGAAATGCAGGAGAGCAAAGGCGTGGTCACCCTTCTGCTGAAAATGGGACGGGAAAGGGGAAAATGGGGGTTGGTTAGCTGGGTAACTGGGGAAGCCAGCCCACGGCTGATGGGGCTCTCCGGAGGGTGCTGCTCCTCTCCTGTCGCTTCCTTACTACATGCTCAGGGGCCGCTTACAGTCAGCTGCTGCTCGTGGTGTGGCCGGGAGGGCTGGGATGTGGCCGGGGAGCAGCCAGCCCTGCTACCGTGAAGGCAAGCACCAGCTTTCGCCATTTCTTCTGGGTTTGATGCTTCCTCCCTTCCCACACCTCCTGCGCTTGCAGGAGTTCCCTGGGAGGGTGAAGGAGAGCCGGAGCGGCTCTGCAGTGTTTCACCTGGCTGGGAAAGCCCAGCGGTGCCAGCAGCCTGGGGAGGTGCTGGGGTGGGTTTGCTGCGAGGCGGGTCCTGTTCCGCGGGGTGCAGATCCTTATCTCTTTCTAGATTTTAGTCATTTGTGTTGCTTTTGAACAGTGACTTGACGTAGCATCTAGATGAAAAGTCAGGGATGACATACAGATGAGTAATTCTTTTTTCTTCCCATAAACGTATGTTTAGGGCCTCTCTGCCGAGCAGGATGATTGGGTGCTTTAATGTCCACAACATTTATAAAATGCAACTGTAGGGAGCGACAGCCGCGAGGAGCCAGGTTCTAACCTGCACAGGGATTTGCATGGATGTAATTTATGAACATTGGCACATCTCTGCTGAGCAGACCAAATTTACTTTTCGCAGGAGTAGGTGGACTTTCTGTTTTTCTTTGTTTTCTAATTGTTTCGGAAAACGACAGTGAAACAGCCTGCCTGTATGGACATGCACACGGGGGGATGCAGCTCCGCTGCCTGCCCTGGACCAGCGTCCAGATCGGCTTTAGCAGATTCGATGGGAATTGGCGATGAGTTAGGAGCAGCGCTGGTGGGAGAGGGAACACGCCTGGACGGGGAGCTGGGTGAAGCATCTTTCTGGCCGTACCCTGCTCTTCCCAGCTGCTGGGGCACTTGCCGTCACAGCCTTGCTTTTAATTACTGTCGTGTTCTGTGGCTTAATACTGCACCAACCTCGTCGCATCCTGTCTGTTAATTGGCGTAACTGGCCATCACCCGAAGAGACACTGCTGTGTGTAGAAACAAGCTTCCCCAAATATTTCCTAATTGGCAGCCGGTGCTGGGTGAGGAGATGGGTCCCTCTCGGTGATATTAATAGATGTTTTCTTCTGTTCCTTCCCAGGATTGGACATTGATCCTATGACGCATGCCCGGAAGAAACAACTTTTCCTTCTGAAGCACCCAGCTGGTTCTGCTGGCCAGGCTTCGTCACCGGCGGGCAGCGGGAGGATGGACAGGACTGAGGCAGAGTGTGGCGAGCAGAGGGACGGCGATGCCACCGAGGCTCCCAACTGTCCCAGTAGGTTCGTGGGGACAAACAAAACCAAGAATTTGCACGAAGTGCGGAAGACGTACCCACTGCGGAGACGTCTGCTCCCCTCGGTGAGCAAAAAGACCTGCAAGGTGCTCCTCACCAGGCTGGAGGATGTGGCAGGGTCTCTGTCCAAACAGACCCAGGGCTGTACAAAACAGGAGCTTCCCAGCTGGATGGAGGGCTTGGGACCGGCTTTGTTCTCCGAACAAGTTCAGCCTGCGGGAGCGGGGAAGAGTGATTCATCTGGGGAAAAGTGCACAATAACTTATCCAGGGGCAGAGCAGGACTCCGATGCTGCTCCGTCAGAGCCCAGGAAGCGCCGGCTGGCCTCGCTCAACGCCGAGGCGGTGAACAATCTGCTTTTTGAACGGGACGATGGCTTGCTCTCCGGCAGGCGTTTTCGGAGGGACCCGGTTAAAGCCGGTGCAGACTGTAGCGTTAAGAGCTTGCATTGCAAAGCTGGGGACAACTGGCCTGCGTTGGAAAAAGCAGCTGTGAAAACAGGTAAAGGCAAAAACCGGCAGGAGCCCAGCCAGAAATGCAATAGCTGCGACCATCCGCTGGATGAGGTCTTCGATGATGGGACAAAGAGGGAGGACGGTGCCATCTCCTATCATCCCACCCCAAAGAGACTGGCCAGCCTGAACGCCGTGGCCTTTCTGAAGCTGACCCATGAGAAAGACCAACCCCTGAAGCAGAGGAGTAAATCAGACGGAGAGGGCAAGTCCGAGAACCACTGTTCAAAATCCACGCTGAAATGGGCCAAAGCCGGGAGAAGGAATTGCGTCAAAGCCAAGAAGGAAACGGCGAGCTTAAAAACAGAGGCTCAGCACGGCTGGCGAGGGCTCGCTGCGGGGAAGGGAGAGCAGCGGGACTCCTCCCGGCTCTATGGGACGGCAGAGCCCCTCCCTTACGAGTCGCTGTCTAGCTCCTACACCAGCACAGAGGGTTTCTACCACAGACTGCCTTTGCTGATGGGTGGGCAAGCTTCCATGAAGCCAGAGTACGGAAGACCCGGGGAGAAATCTCCGACTCCCAAGCAGGAGTTCCATCAGCCTTCCTTCCCCGTGCAGCAGTTCCCTCCCCTGCCCGTGCCCGGGAATCACGCGGATTGTGGATGTCTGTACGAGTCCTCGGATCTGACTCCACTGAATGGGTTTTACGTTTATTACGGCCAAAGTGGGTACGGTGGCTACTCCCACTGCTCTGTTTACCCCAAGGACGAGCTTTCGCAGCCCGCTGCCTGCGAGGGGCTCTTGGTGTCGCCGGGCTCCTTGCCGTCAGGTGCTCCCTTCCAGCCCCTCCGCTGGTGTCCCTCTCCGTACTGCTGCGGGGAGGGGACGGCGATGAGCAGCTACAGCGTCTGCGGCGTGGTGCATGTGCCAGAGGGCAGGGTCAGCAGCGTGCACGCGGGGCGCAACACCTACCCCTACAAAATGCCTTTTGCAGCAGGTAAGGAGCAAAGCGCGAGCAAATCTCGTTGGGCGTTCCTGGGAGAAGAGGGCTGGTTCGGCGTGGCAGCGGCTAATGGAGGGATCTCCGTGCCGGGAGGCAAGCTGCCTCTGCGCCTGGTGCGGCTGGGCTTGGCAGGCGGGGCGTCGGGAAGAATCCGCGCTTCGCCTCCCCTTCCCCCATTTTTAGCCCCGAGGGTTTTTTCCCACTGAAAGGTCTTATTGGTGTGGAAAGCGTAGAATCGGTGAAAGGATTTGGGCAGTGAGGAGGTGACTCATGACTTGTCATGCTGGAGCTAACGGCTTCGCTTTGATCTGTGTGAAACAGTGGTTTGTAGTTCCTGCGTGCTCTGTGCGGCTCCTCGCCATCCCGCATCGCGCGGAGTTACTCTGCTCCCAACAGCACTGAGGCATCCCGCAGAACGGAGCGGGGTGAGGGAGCAGCCGCCGCCTCCGTCACTAGGCTCTCAGCGGTGC